AAAGACAATTTTTCCCGTTATTTTTTATATTTCGATATATCTATAATTGTCTAATAATATTAGCTTATTAATACATCCAAACACCAAATACTCTAATTATAACCCTAGTGGTTTTTATTTCTTATTTAATTTATTTTTGTTTCAGCTTTCTGACAGCCTCTCATTAAATCTCGTTATAGTCGAGACAGCTATTGGAATACCTACTCGCCCTCTCTCTGGGTTACTTTTTGACCTGCCCTCATTGCGGTCTTCGCGTTCATTCATTTACACCGCCATTATCGGCCTCTATAGTTGCTCCTGCTTTATATTGGCTTTCTCTTACTGCTCTTCTTCAATTCTTATCGTGGGTATGCTCTTACGTGGCCTATCACACAGCATCTTCCTGGCTCAATTGGGTGTTGCGACCAGCGACCAAGCCATTTCCATCTCAGAGCTTTCTCTTATCACCGCTGCTAGCCAGATTCCACGAGGAGTGGGTCTATTGGTCGGATCCATCATATCAGGTTAGTAACTTATACATCGAATTAATACCATCAATTTTACTTCTTAGTACAATAATTGCCAAATAGAGCAATTGTTTAAAAAGTTGAATAAATTTTTACTTTTTACTTTCATTAGTCCACTTGTGCACATAATTAGCCAATGTTCCACATAAATATTTACTTTTATCATTATGTCTTCTATGGCGTAAAAGATAATTAACCTCTTAATTTAATTTCTGCTAACCGACCGATTTGTTTAAGATTTAGTTAATATAGAGGAATGCACTGTTCAGTGGCGATTTTAAGATAAGCAAGCTAGATGCAATTAAATTCTTGATACTAGATAAAATTATAGCAAGTGGGTTGACCTTGTTTTTCGCAACTTGGTATTGTTGTCAGGACGACAGTTGAATGCATCTTGTCCGAAGGTTGATTCGACCTCGTCTTCGCAACTTTATCGGAGCGTCAGAGAGACCTTGTGGAATGTACCTAGTCCTGTGTCCTCTGTCATATTATTCGTGATTTGGTAACAATGGCGCCTCTTGCTGACGTTGCCGACAAAATGTTTGGGAATGTACCAAGTCAATGGTCATATACTGGAAATCACTGATACCATGGCAGAGAACACAGGACTAGGTACGTTCTATAAGGTTTCCTTGATGCTTCGAACAAGTTGCGAAAACGGGGTCAAATCAATACTTAAACGAACGAACGATTTACAATCAATCTCTACGTTCATCTCAGGAGCGAAGGCATTTACGATGCTGCTGGAAATCTCTGGAGGAGGGGATGGTATTTTGGAGATGGAGTGTATCATTAATAAGTTTTAACACAATTGGCTTACCTGACGATAAGGATGATTCGTTTCGTATCCAACGGGAGTATTTATGAAGATATATTTGGTCTCTTCATGTGAATACCATTTTAAGCTATTTTGGCTATCTGCATGATAAAAAGAAGGAATTCAAGAATTAATGACTGTAATTAGGACTGATTTAACGATACTATTATGACGATTTCAGACTCTTTGGATGAGAGAGAAAAGTTGAAAATGTATTTCATCGTCCTATATAGGATTGATGAAACCATGAGATTGCAAATGTGAGCAGAGGGCTTGTGGTTATCTCCAAAAATGCCACTAAGCTTTATATGCCAAAAATGGGAAAAATCGGAAGATCAGGAAGGTTGTTGGCATCCTTATTGAAAAAAACTGAGACATGAATCAAGGGAAACTGCATACCAGGAAGGTTGATCTTATAGACTGTGAGTGGGGTCTACTCAAGATATTACTTGAAAACTTTAGATGCGATCGCCCATTTGTAACTACTTATTACCTTAAGAAGTCTCAATAATTGATATTAAGGTTGGAATCTAAAGTATTGCAAATTGTTTTAGTTATGGGTATAGTCCTAATCTTGGTATGTTATGTGAATGCAGTTAGCATATTAACACAACACTTGTCAAAGGCACGGGGAAAAATCGGATTCAAGCTGAGTCAAATGATTAGTCGATAAGAGATGCCAGTTTGGATCAGGTATCTGAAAGAGGGACTGGCAAACCTGTAGAAAAGGTAGCCACGATACAACAAATTAACTTGGAAATGCTGGGAAGCTGTAAAACTTATAGGAAAAATGATAAGAAAGTTGAAGTGTCTATTGATTCTTACAATAGTTCTAATATGGCAAACAGGAATACTAATTAGGCTAAATCTATTAAGATGTGAAGACCAAGATGTTGTGGCCTCGGGTATGGTCGCAGTCTCCTTTCGACTTATAGAAGTGGGTTGACCTCCTTGTCACAACTTGGTCTTGTGTTCAGGGAGACTATGTATAACGCACCGAGTCCGAAGTCGTCTGCCATAGTAGTTGTCTTGATTCCTAGCATCTGACCGTGGACTTGCTACATTCACAGACGCTTCGCCGGCCTGATGATGCCGACTACGAGGCCGGCGAAACGTCTGAGAATGTATCAAGTCCACGGTCAGATGCCAGGAA